AAAAAAAAAAAAAAAAAAAAAAAAAAAAAAAAAAAAAAAAAAAAAAAAAAAAAAAAAAAAAAAAAAAAAAAAAAAAAAAAAAAAAAAAAAAAAAAAAAAAAAAAAAAAAAAAAAAAAAAAAAAAAAAAAAAAAAAAAAAAAAAAAAAAAAAAAAAAAAAAACCAAAATTTTTAAATTTTTTTTATTTTTTTTTTTTTTTTTTAAGATAAATCTAATTACAATTTAGGATTTTGCGCTTAGATATGTTATTTGAAAATCCCTACTAATTCGAAGAGGTTCTTAGGTACGGACAATACTTTACATAATCAAACTAACGCATCCATCTTTCAAAGACTCTGTTCAGCGTGTTATCGCATAGAACCTTCCAACTATCTCCTAATCTCTTAGGTCAAAACCCTTGATTGTGCACGTAGAAGAACACGCCAGCAGACAAACCTGCCACTCCGGTGACTCTTTCTGCCAGCTCGCCGAACCTGGGAAAAGCACATCGGAATTGGCCACGACGGGGACAACAGCTATATTTGCGATAGGAAATTGCCTTCGACTTCGATACATCCACGTGTATCTGTCGCTGATCTATCTGTTTTGCATTAATCAAAAAGCTAGGCATGTCGCTCACTGGCTGTCCTACTCCTTGTCCTTGCTAGCGATTCAGTATCTCTACTATATCCTGATACACAGACACCCTTAGCTGACACTGCTGTCTTTTTGCTAGGCGCTAGCATTTCTGCAAATGCCCCGCAACACTGCTTTCCACTCGCAGCGTCACGAGCCGTTCCGATCCCAAAGCTCCCTTGAGCTTCAGCATGATTGCATCACTGGCCCTTTCTCTTTCCTGAACCCCACTCGCGCTGCATTCAGACATTCCATCCCCGATAGCAAGGGCTCTAACGATCTCGATCTTGGTTTGGAAGAAAAATCCCCCGAGCGGAAGGACGAACAATTGGCATCAAACATCGAGTTGATATGGCGCTCTCGAGACAACCGCAAAGGCCGTCATACTCTCGTCGTGGACCCGTCATCTGATCCCTCCGCCCCTTTTCTGGCGCCCAAATCGACTTCTGGCCTACGAGAAGTCGGTAGAGGCATCATCCGGATGACGAGGCAATACCCTTACTGGGATGTTTCGTGGCTCGTTGCCACAATATTCACTCTGGGCTCCGTAGTCTGGGTAATCAACGCCTTTTTCGCCTACCTGCCTCTTGCGCAGCCCAGTACCTTATTCAATAACGAGGTCCTGGTAGGGGGAGGAGTTTCTGCCTTCGTAGGAGCCACCATTTTCGAGATTGGGTCTGTTCTTCTCATGATAGAGGCTGTGAACGAAAATCAAGCAGGGTGTTTTGGTATGTGTAGTCGGGAGCAAAACTCATGATCATCGATAGCGCAATCGAAACTTCCCCAAATATATATGGGAAGCAAAAGATAATCGCTTCTCAATATTCATCCCTATATCCTAGCAAGGAAAAGCTGACTCCAAAACGTTCGCTAGGCTGGGCACTGGAGCAAGCCTTCTCAGGCAACGGAGGAGGCAAAGGCAAGCTCAGGATCAGGCCTGACGAGGACAAATGTGTCCATCATCACACAAACAAGGGCAACTTTGTTGGCAAGGGATCTGGTATGGTTCAACAAAAATAAATCTAATCCTCCATGCTCACAACTCTTCAAAAGTCAAGGTATCTTCCGGCGAGGCTCTTTCAGATTCCCAAGCCTCATCCAATGCCGACTTGGAAAAGTCTGTGGACTCGAATAGTCCCGGCAGATCATGGGTTTGGTTTCCATCAACGCATGACCTGAAGACCCATTACGTACGTATTCTCGGAACCCTAATCTCTCTCTTTGGATCGCATTCCGAGCCTTGCTGTACATCTCGCGAGGATTCACTTTATAGACGTATTTTCAGGGCTGAAATGCCATCTTGATCAAGCAGCGCTGACTTCAAAAATTTCGATTCAGTTGCGAGAATTGGGTTTCCTTGCGTCGCTTGCTCAATTATGCGGAGCGTAAGTGACACCGAAGCAGTTATTTGTCGATAAAGGATTACTGATCGCGGCACACTTGGAAAAGTACAATATTCTGGGTTAGTCGCTTACCTTCTATCACAATATTAAAGGTCCTGCTTACGCTGATCAGATATCTGGCTTCACTGCTCTCCCTGGCATCAATAACAGAATGCCCCAAGGTCTACTTGATGGCATATATTGGGTACCGCAGATGGTATGTACATCTTTGGAGCAATTACTGCCTATTCCAGAATGTTATTCGATTTGCAAGACATGTGTCGTAACCAAAAGGCTCTAAGAATCCCTTCGAGCTGTTCCACTGCTCGGGCTTTGCCTTTATGAACGAATGCTGACTTTACAGGTTGGGGGATCCGGTACAAGCTGGTATCCATCACTTCGGAACAAAATTAACATGATTTGTTAGGTTTTATCATATCCGGGACGCTTTACATGCTTGAAACGCAACCGAAATGGTACAAGCCGGCATGGGAAGTTCTTGGATGGCACATTGGGCTTTGGAATGTATGCATATTGTTCAGCGAACTATCCTACTCAATAATAAAAAGAGTCGCAGGACAGGTTTTGGAAGCAGAAAGCTCTATAAACTCCCCCCCCCATGGAACCTGTCTTGCGACTCAAGGTTCACTTAGAACAGGCAATACTGACATACTTCAGTTGATAGGAGCCCTGGGGTTCACCCTTTGTGGTGCGTTGGGTCCTGCATATGGCAATAGCGGCGCCCAATACGAGGCTTCGTTGGCCACATTTTGGGGGTCATGGGCATTTTTGATTGGTTCCTTGATCCAATGGTACGAAAGTTTGGACAAACATCCCGTGATAGAGCGATCCAGCTACTTGTCGTGAAAGTTGAGAAAGTAAACCTGCGATCCAGGCCATTTTCCGGCGCATTCTCCATTACGATTCTTCAAAAACCATCACATTTAAGCACCCGAGAATGATGATGGAAAACACATGAGTGAGAACAGACCATGGCTGGTAAAGGTAGTTCCCAGCTCTTGATCAGGTACACTACAGGCAAGGTGCCAGAAAGAGTCGCTGTCGAAATTGTATGAACCTCCCACCAATATAGATAGATCTGCGTAGCTAATATTCTCGCCATATTGCGAGTATCATATCAAGACCATTCAGATCCAACTCCAACCGCTAACAACACAGGGTTTTTGCTTACTTGGGGAGTCGTATCGTCTGTGAAGTCTTTGTTGCGTGATGGGTTTTTGGCTATTATACAGTAAATCATATGAAAATTCAAAAGATTATTATCTTCTAAAGTCGCGTGGAAAGAATCATTAAAACCGATGCTTTTTTGATGATCTTTGTCAAGCCTGACAGTATTCAGATTGTGGCACTTTTTGCGTAATTCCTCGTGTACAATCGAAGTGAAAATGGTTGGGAAACCTCCCTACCGTCTTGCAAGCTGTTCGATGAGAAGCCTGAATGCTTTCTTCGCTGAGCAACCAAGACCATTGGAACCTAGGAAAACTTCCTATGAAACGATAGTGACAGGTTCTGGTGTTGCTGTGTACATAGAACCCCTTCGGAGCGGGTGGGCGGGAAAATGGAGATGGGAAGCCGATGTTTATGTTCAAAAGTCTGTTTTTTCGACCGGACCCAATTCCACCGTGATGCCTGCTATCTACTCGAGGGGGAAAAAAGAAAGAAAGAGCAAAGATGAGAAGGGTGGGATTCGAACCCATGCGGATTTTCATCCAAATGAATGCAGCAACCAGGTCTGATCCACAGGAAAGCATTGCCTGTCTTGTAAACGATGTCCACGAACCACTCAAGCAGAGAGCCACCAATTGTCTAAAACTTGAGAACGTATAACATCGGAGAGAATCAAAAAACATGTGACTCTTCTGCGAATAGAGTAGCCAACGATTACCGACTCTTCCCTATACGCTGCCCTTTAACTTGTGCCTCAAAGTCTTCCAGCAGCCGCTGCGCGTTCCTTAACTCGCATCTGGGCAGCGACATGTTCCAACGCACCTTGTATTCGTAGCCCATACCCGTCTGTCACTTGCCGACAATTTTTACAGTCTCCCATTCCTCTTCATTTAGTGCCAAAGCTCTTCGGTCCCGAGGCTGCTGAGGAAGTGGTGGGGTAACGGTGGAGTGAGAGGTATGCAGATTTTCTGAAGTCAAAAAATGTACTTACGGCGATTGGAAACTACGTGCTGAGCTGAATCTTAGGCACCCTCCAATATATATCCTCCCTTTTCTCTTTTCATTAACCGGCTAAGTAATAAAGTTCGATTTCTCTAAAGCGCCATGTTTTATAAGAAGAGCTGGTCTCTAATAATCGGCCAGTAAACTCCGACTCGGACGGCGGTTTTGATTCGGATATGAAATCTATATAGGATGGAAAGAGCAATATAATAGATTTGCATATGAAAAAGGACTGTTCTATTTATACTTCTGAGAGCGAATCTACTCATAACAATAAGGCAAAAGAGGAAAGGAGAATCGATTGAGGAAAAGGAGGAAAAGGAGGAAAAAGAGGAAAGAGAGGAAAAAGAGGAAAAGGAGGAGGAGAAGGAGGAGCAGTGCAATACAATGCAGGGAGTCTAGTGTAGAGCAGAAGCTAAGGAATATTGCAAACATTGTATCCTTCGAGAACGTGTACTTACATGGTCAATAGTTTGCCCATCTGCGCCTTTGAATTACGTTCCCACTGGAACCTTGTCTGTAGCATTAACATGGCTACTCTGTTCAATACGTGATCATACATATTGAGCTCGAGCCAGTAGCTTCTCGGTAGGCCAAAATTGACTATATTTATTGTATACAAGTAAGTATGTTGATCGTGCACTGATCACCCGGCTCGCGACCGTAGGGCGGCGCTCAACCTAGACTCTAAGAAGGGTGACATGGCGTCTTGCAGTGAGAAATACAAAATCCGAACTTTAACTCCAATCGTGAATCTCTGTCATTTCTTTCTACACGCTCATTTTATCAAATTGACTCGGGATTTCTAAAGCCATGTCTTCCAAAGAAAAATACACGGTCATTCTACCAACCTACAATGAAAGAAGGAATCTACCTATCAGTAAGTCACCATAAGCTGAAACCTAGCTGCCTCTCTCCCCTTTGTCTCCATACTGATGGACGCTTTCATAGTCACTTGGCTCCTCAATCGCACCTTCACGGAGAAGTAATACCACCTTCTTTCCGCGAGACCTCCTCTGACGAGCTCTCTCCCCTGCAACATGCTAACGCCCTGGCTCTCTCAGCAAACTTGACTGGGAAATAATCATCGTCGACGACGGCTCCCCTGACGGCACCTTGCAGGTAGCTCAACAACTCCAGAACTTCTACGGCAGCCGCATCGTCCTTAAACCCCGCGCAGGCAAACTTGGACTGGGTACTGCGTACGTCCATGGACTCAAGTACGCTACGGGGTCCTTCGTAATCATCATGGACGCAGATTTCTCACACCACCCTAAATTCATTGCCCCAATGATCGAAAAACAGAAGACCGGCGACTACGACATCGTGACTGGCACTCGATACAGCGGGGACGGTGGAGTTTACGGCTGGGATCTCAAAAGGAAGTTGGTTTCTAGAGGGGCGAACTTGTTTGCGGATACGGTGCTCAGGCCAGGGGTCAGTGATTTGACAGGGAGCTTCCGGCTATACAAGAGGGCGGTGCTGGAGAGTGCGATTGCCCAGACAGAGAGCAAAGGATACACGTTTCAAATGGTACGTATACTCCAGAAGGGTCCATTCACCGGCGAGTGGCAACTTGCGTCGCGAGGCATTTGATGGGACCTACAATGAGGACCCTCGAATCTATTTTCCAACCCAACTCGAGGCTTAGAGGCAGACACGCTGATAGTGAAATCGTTTGTAGGAATTAATGGTCAGAGCGAAGGGTATGGGATATAGAGTCGCGGAGGTGCCGATTAGCTTTGTTGACCGAGGTGAGACTCTTGTGCAACTTGGTGCTGACGTTCAAGCGGCTGACAACCTCAAGTTTACGGAGAGTCCAAGCTAGGTGGAGATGAAATCGTTGAGTATGCGAAGGTGAGCCCTGTGAGAAAGTACGATCCTCGAGGCTGTCTGCTAAATCTGATACGTCTAGGGAGTTTTGAATCTCTGGCTGAAGGTCTAAGGCTTGATACGGCGTTGTAATGGGAATATACCCCGTGTCTTGGTTCTTCAAAAGGTTTACTACTGCTGTCCGACAATCGTAATATTGGCATTTAAGCGTTTCTGACATATAAATGTTTCCGAATTTGCAAATCCGAACTGCTAACGTTTGTGTACCATCGCCTTCAAAACTCCCAGAAAACGAATCGAGGACAAACCGTCAGTATTGGTATTAGAAGTTGAAGACAGAGTATAATTTATCAGCAGTGGATCTATTAGCATGATTCTATTGAGCAACCAAGGGGTCCAGTTCGGAGTTGAACCCAATTGTAGCTTGCACATGGGTTCGAAGGGGCTAAGGTGCATGTCAAACCACAAACAATGGGGCATCGTACCTACAGTGATATATCGTCCACGTTTGCCGTAGGTTCCAGCAACTTGAACCGCTGGCTATCCTACATCTGTAACAAGTTGTGGTGCTGGGACATGGAGCCGGCGGAGAAGATCCTTATCTCTCCCTCCCTCCCCCCCCCCCTTATTCGGCATATACACAGTCTTGGTTAACAAATGCGTTCGAATTCACCAGAAAGATGCCAGTCTAGAACAGATCTTGTCCGAGCAGATTCCATTGCGTCAGCAGCTTCTCGATGAGATGAATTAAATTCGACCCCCGATCCCAAAATCATCTCCCCCGGACACCAGTGCTCAGGAACAAATCGCTTCTATACAGTAATACTCTTACATGTTTCTACCTCCAGTCACCTGCATTTATCAGCCAATACTCCCTCCTATCAAAACCGTAGAATAGAGACCTTACCATGATAGTCTGGCCATTCACATACGAAAATAAAGGACTAGCAACTGCCAAAATTGCACTGGCTGCTTCCGTTGCGGTGCCTGGTCTTCTGAGAGGAATGTCGGCATATGAATTGCTCCCTGCGGCTTCTTTCTGCGCCCTAGGTATTCCAAGGGCAACCTGGTTACCATCCGGGGTCGTCACAAAGGCGCCTTCTTCTTTGGCGGCTGTGAGGCGTGTTAGGATGTGGCCAAAGGCGACGCTGTAATGGCAGGTGGTCAACTGGAAGGAAGCGACAAGGAAGAACAGCGAGGGAGAAATACGTATTTGCACGGACACCAAACGAAGGACCCCATTCTTTCGCTATGACTTTCGAAAGACCGGTCACGCCTGCTTTCGCAAGTCCATAATTGGCTTGTCCTCTAGTGTCTATCAGTGAGATATCTCAACGGTTTTTTTTCTGATCCCATACGCGTTGCCATTAATTCCACTCGTACTGCTGATGTTGATGATATTTCTCGGCTCTCCGTCCTTGACTCTGAAATACGGGGCGGCTGCTCTGACAAGTTTGAACGGTGCGGTATTGTGTAAAGCGATGATGGTGTCCCATTGTTTGTCCGTCATCTGGCCCATACCATTAACCACCATACATTCCCGGTTTCGGACTCAGAATCGGAATCGGCTTCTGGAATAGGGCCCATACCTTGTGTATTACTCCGTCCCAAGTGAAGCCAGCATTGTTGACTATAATGTGGATCTTGCCCCCTCCAAATTCGGCGGCTTTCTTCACAAGCTCGTCAATGTACTGTGCGTTTAACATATCGCCAGGCACAGCTATTGCTTGTCCGCCTGCGTCATTGATGGCTTGTGCGACTGCGTTCGCCTTAGCTATTCATTAAAGGTTCATCAGCGTTCAGGCCATGGAACGGTAGAGCAACTTGGCGGAGAAGTACCGGCATCTATATCCTGCACCACAACCTTTGCGCCCTCATGTGCAAACAATTGCGCGGCTTCTGCCCCAATGCCTTGGCCTGAGCCCGTTATGATGGCCACCTGACCACCCAGCATACCCTTGGCAAAGAGGTGCCCGGCAATCTGAGCGATACGCTTCTCTGCCATGGTTGAGGACTTTCAGCAGATGGATTGACAGAATCTCCAGGCTTGGGGTCGAAAGAAGCTGTAGCCAATTGCGAAGGTCCAAGCAGTCATTGAATGAGGTTTTGAGCGGTATTTCTACAAAGATGTAGGTTTCTGCGGCAGCCGAGGTATGACGTTGTCAGGAGCCGTGGGAGCCCACTCTGCATACGGGAAAACCTTTCTCCTAGCGCACCGCAAGGTCACCAAGGCAAATTGCTTTGATACATACGAGCAATCGCTTCTCTCCAAAGTTGAGAAATCTTCGAATTGTCCCTTCATGACGGAATGATTTCCCCGAAGCGCCTGCTTGCTTATGAGGCCTGTATGCTGGCATCAGAAGCAATACTGCTCGTTGCTCTGCTGGCTCGTAGGATGAACAGTGCTGGTTTCTCGGATAAATGAGGTCCAGAAGAGTCGCATGTTCATATCATTTCCGTTTGATCTGTCTGATAGTAACGACGTCCCCTTCCAGCTGCCAATCCACGTTGCTTTTCTCCTTGAGCTCCCGCCATCGTCGTTGTGCCGACCTCTCTAGAAACTCTGGGTCAACGCTCAAGTAGCTCTTCCCCAAGCACTCTAGAGCGCGCCGTCTCATCCCTTCCTCACTGTACTCCAACAGCCGTTGCTGATGACAGCTCATCAATGTTTTCACTTTCCAGAACGCATACCAGTTATCGTGAACAAGAGCCTTGAGCACTGCCTCAACTCTTACATTCTTATAATTGTAGCGACATTTCACTTCAAATGCTGTAGCTAGATTGTTCTGCCGGCATGACACGTCGAGTATATAGAATCCCATGAACTCGTGATATTCAGATGCGGTCAATGGAGTTACAGGATGTATATTGCGTAATAGATGCAGCAACGCTGGATGGTAAGATTCCATGTGTCTCATCAGTATAGTAGCGCGGATCAAGAAAGCATATGCTCGTAAGGCAAACATGTCTTTGCGGGCTGAAGCTACGATTGCTTCACGAACTTTTCGCATAGCCATCAATATCACTGACAGTTCTCTCGAGTCTTCTGTTGAGACTTGAGGTGCACTCCCTGAAGCTTTTGCCTCTGAAATGGGGTTGGGCCGATCAGAGCGATTCCCAGAAATCCCATCGATGGAAAGAGAGGCAAATGCTCCGTCGAGAGTGTCGTTATCGCCACCATGAGGATGGCACCGTTCGTATCTGTCAACGACTTTGCGGAAGTATTCTTCTTGCGTCTTGAAATTTAGCAGCCTACGGAACGCGTCAGCGCAACCTGATAACAGAGCAATTTACGCACCTGTTATCGCCTTTCGAGGGTAAGCCTATGCTTTCCAGAGGATCCACGGAAACTTGCTTGAGTCTACTCATTCCCCTAGGTGGACGGTAGGGTTCCAAGCCGGGTTCCATAGCGATAGGGTCAGCTGTTGGACGTGACTGGGTGTCCCATCAATTCGCAGGGAAATTGCCGCGAAGAGTGCAATGCGAGCAGGGAAGGCACTGCGAATAGCATTGAAATACAGTCTTTATGCGAATCGATTGGCAGTCAGCTTGGTGCTTGAGCTTGCAAACCGGAGATTGGGCCTTAGCTACGAAGGATCGACCAAGACACCTGAAGCTTGAAAGCCAAGGCCGGAGTGGTGTCTTGGAAATTGTGCGATCATACTACAAGAAACGATCGGTTTTGGGTGGCACGGTTGCAGTCGTTGCAGTTGTTATGTGGGTACGGAGTAGAAAGGTTGAACGCGTAGAAGACACACGCAGGGATTACTTGAAGTTTAGCTGCATGCCTCTGCCGGATGCCCCGCCGTCCTGACTTGAGTCACGTGACATGGTGAAACAGCATTTGACAAGTGCTGGAGCGTGCAATAATAAAAAGTAAAGTATTATAATGGCCACCCGTCGTATCCCTTCACGCGCCAAAACGACACCCATTGAGACCCTTCACAGCCTCCTGACCGTGCAGGAAGCGGATACTGCATTCAGAAGCCGGCCTGTAACCAATTTCCTGCTCAATTATGATGAGCTACCTGCCTGGCGACAAGATAACCATTTCATCTTAACCCATTACCGTCCGACATCGAATTCGGTCTTCACATCTTTCCAGAGTCTATTTCAATTGCATAACGAGTCTGTCAATATCCACTCTCACCTTTCCGCTGCTTGGATTTTTTTCTTCATCGCCCTGTCTCTTTATGCTTTCGAACGACACGCAGTTACATTGGCCGATACCATAGCCTTCTTATTCTTCTTTTCCGGTGCTGTCACATGCTTAGGCATAAGTGCTACCTACCACACGGTATCGAATCATTCACCAAAGGTACGGCTACCCCTGACAGCATGCTTCTTCCCAATCTAAGTTTGCAGATCAATCAATGGGGAAATCAAATCGATTACCTGGGCATCGTCATTCTCATTTCTGGAAGTTTCGTGCCGAGCGTATATTATGGCTTCTATTGTGAGCCAATGCTGCAAAGATTCTACTGGGGCATGGTACGTTTAAATAAAACGTAGAGTAACCCCGCAACGATCCATTTCTGAACAACGGGTTGTAGATCTCTACAATCGGCATCGCCTGCGCTGTTGTATCCCTGAACCCAAAATTCCGCTCCCCTCTTTGGCGATCATTTCGAGCAGGCATGTTTCTCGGTTTCGGTCTCTCCGCCATCTTCCCAGTCTTGCATGGAGTGTATATGTATGGACTTGAGCAGATGAGATATTCGATTGGTCTTGATTGGGTCCTGTTGCAAGGTTTCCTCTACATCTTAGGAGCCGCCATTTATGCTGTGTGTTTTCGCTCCTCAAATCTCCGTGTCTGCACTGAAAGGCTGATCCAAGATACAAGGCACGTGTACCTGAGAGGTTCCAGCCTGGGAGATATGATATCTGGGGGAGCTCCCATCAAATATTCCAGTAAGACGCATTTCTGAGTTGTCATTCCCCAATCCGAATTGCTTTCCAAGTCGCAAGATATGTCTCAACAGCAAAACGTTCCCGCAAGCCCCAGCTTACTCCTTCAACGTGTCTCATGACTCCTTTCTGTGTCGTGTTAAGAAAACACTGACTCTGAAATCTACCAGTGTCCTCATAACCCTGGCCGCAATGTCACAACTCATAGGCCTGTTGACCGCTTTCCACCATGCACGGACATCGTCCAAATGCTAGAGCGTGACGGTAACCATATACGCTCATACCTCCCCCTTCGGTAACATGATATTACGCTTCAGGTCCCTCGGATGAGGATCGCTTCTATTTGGCTTCGAACTTGCAACCCTTCTGTACGTGGCTTCCCGTCGTTGTACAGTCTCTAGTATAAATGAATTTTGAGTAGCTAGAGTCAACATTCAGGGAGGAAACGAGAGAGACGACTGTTCATCTGGTCGACTTGCCACGTGATGTTGGGATGTCGTGAAGACATAATAAATACTGACCCTCGCTAGCTTCCGTATGAAGAAATTAGAGAGCGTGAGAGTAAATGGAAAAGCGGGTGGAAAAACCCCAAAGATCACCACCAGCGTTCGCGTACTTGCCCAGGAAAGACAGGGAGAAGAATAATATTGCCCGGCGAATGTGTCACCATGGGAGCTTTGTACCGCTTGGCTTGTTCATCTTACAGTTTAGAGTACATCGAGGCAAAGCCTTAAAGGCTTGGAGCCAGCAGGCAGCGTCTGCAAGAATTCCCTAAATCATACCCAGTCTACTGCTTAGCTTGTAGTACAACGCCTTCATACTCCCTGCTCTGAATGTAATCCAGCGTTCTCTGGAAGTGCTTTTTCGGAGCCTCTAAGCTCGAACTTTCCTGGTTCGTTTGCAGATTCGAATGTATGAGCTCGATAAGGCCGTTTAGGTATTTCGTCGTCACCTATTTCACCGTCAGTACGTCTTGATGACACTGTCATGTTCCTGGAATTAGGCCCACCGTCTCATTTTGCTGATCGAAGTAATATACATATCTATTCAAGATCTCCACGAACAGCTCCACTGACACTGCGGTATCCATACAAGCATCTGCCACGCGGAGCGCGCGCTGTAGACATTCAAGCACGCGCTTGCCGTCTCGATAGAGCTGATCAAATATCAGCCGTCAGTCGCCGTGATCGATGCATCGATTCAACCTACATTCTTGGCATCCTCCTCGCCTTTCGCCGGAATCTCCACGGCCCACCAGAGATGACTGGCCAAATATACAGCTCGACACTGATCCGGCTTCTTCAAGAGTTTACTGCCATGTAACGCGCATTTGGTAATTAGCGTATCATAATTCTCTTTTCCGAATCCTCTGGTGGAATGCAGCGCGCCTGCAATCACGCAAACGGCTTGGAACTGAGCCCTCGAATCGCTGATAGCTTCCTCATATATTGTAAATGCTTGCGCGAAGAATTCATAGGCCACCTCTTCAAAGCCTGCTTGATCGGCCACTTGACCGCAGGCCACGAAAAGGCGGAGACATAAATCAGCGGCGCCATTGCGGGTATAAAGCGCAGATATCGACGAGTGCATGAATTTGTAGAGTGCGGAGGATTGGGATTGCCAACTGTCGTCGTAATGTTCTCTTATTTTGTATCTGCGGGCGAGCTTGAGGGATGAGGTGAGTAAAGCAGGCGTAGTGTACTTGATGCGTTCGTTGCCATCCGAAAAGGCGTTGCGAGCAGCTTGGAGCAGCTTGAACTGTATGTCGTTGTCGGGCGATTGGATAAGGTGCACCAGTCTAGCAAGCAATCCTTGCTCTGTTACTGTTTCGTCTGTCTCGGCACCTCGTCGCTGACTTGGGACACCGGGATAGCCAGCGGGCTGCTGGATGCCTTCCTTTATGAGCACTCTCAAAATTTCAAGTACGTCGTCTAGTTGTTCGGATGACGAGATTCTAGTCTGATTGCGGAGGAGGTTTTGGACCACCTCACAAGCGACTGCACGGCGCGTAGGATACGTCTGTACGTGAAGAAGGGGTATGAAGTTTGGGAGAGCTAGGGCTGTGTACAAAGAAACATAGGATTTGATTGGTGCGAGAAGAAGAGCCAAAATGTTCGATTGTGTAGGCGCTGAATGCAGGTCGGCACTGTTCGCAAACTGTGCAACTTTTTCGCTGGCGTACGAAAGTATCTGGTCGACATATTCTGCGCTTCAATTAGCAAAAAATCCGAATCTCGAAAAGGGTGAGGCTACCTAGCCGTTCGGGGTATATGTTACTATTATCATGTTAGCTGCGTTTCATCTGGAAGACACCCGTACTCACAGAGCAAGTTTGGATAAGGAGACGAGCAAAGCGATAGTATCTTGGATGTGTAAACGCTGCGTATTGACCAAGTTGACGACTTGTTCGTAAAAAATCTCATAAAGCTTGACATCTTCAGGTATGCCTCGGTTCTTGCTCGAGGGTGGCTTGTCACCATCTTCTTCAGAGGTGGCGGGGTTTTTTGAGTTCTCGTCTGGCCGACCTTCAATCTCGCTCGACAGTGGTTCTGTCGGCTTATCTCCATTGACTTGCTCGCCATTCGTTTGCTTTCCCTCGGTCCCATCAGCCTTTGCTTGCGGCATCTCATTCCCTTTCGATACACGGAGTTTCTCCAGTAATCTGGTAGTGGCTTCTTCTTCTGTTTGCTTGCGGTCTTCGGGTGATTCTAACTCTGCTTCTCGCGCAGCATACGATGATAATCGATCCATCAGGCCAATTACTATCGCTTTGATATTGACGTGTGGATTCAATCGAGCAATTGCAGAGAGCAATTGATCCAAAGTATTAAGATGGAATTCGTCTGGAAATACCTGCGTTATCACTAGATCTCGTATTAGTTGCTGAATGTAAAGCACGCTTGTGCCGATGTGCAAACCTTCTAGAAGATACTCTTGTGCTAAAACGTCTCTACATTGAACGACTTGCTCCAGAAGCGGTTGCAGAATGACCGTCTTGTATGCATCGAGGTCGACTAGTTGACTCAGTCGTACCAGATTATTTCCCACCAGTAGCTGTAACTCTTGCCTTTCCTTCGTTCTCTGTTCCCTCTCTCTCGAATGTCCCTGGTGTTGCAGCCTTACCCACAACTTGTTCATTTCAACAAAATTTGTCAATATGAACGATATTGAATCCTGAAGATTTCCTTCCGGCCCATCCCCACTCCCTGCAGGCAACGAATCTCTTGCCTGTCCAGAGAGATAATATCGGAGGAACAGACCGCGTATTGGATGTTGTACCCCTCGACTCATTTCCATCATGTCTTTCATAATCTCTTTTACAGGCGCATCTTCAATTCCCATATATACAGTTCCAACAGTGATCATGAGGTACAGTCGAGGTACGATATTTCCTGCATACTGGACTAATTCATACAGATCTGCCAGATGATTGACAGGGTGAGATTCGCGGAGGTAGACGGACAGGTGCCTGAGAGCGTCGAAGACAGACATATAAAGCTCGTAATACTGTTTAGGTCCTAGGCTGCTTGTCCGAAGCTCGGACACAAGTGTGGAGCTTTATGGAGACAGCTTGCAGTCAGCCCTGTTGTCTTTCAAAGCATTGAGAGCATTCATAAGTTTCGAGCTTCATACCTGCACTTCAATGCATCCATGAGCTTGCCTGGGGTCTCCAAGCACTTGCGCATGAGGTGTGTTTGTTGCCGTACCAGGACCAAGGCATCTTCGAGTAGCCTAGCTTGATCCTCAATGGCCGGAGGGGAACCCATGCGGTCGGACATTTTGATGGCGGGATGTTGCAGTTGGCAGCTTGTGCTTTGCTGCAAGCACTTTCACCTATGCAATGCTTGTAAAAACATTCGTGGTTCGTTGTTGAGCATTACTATTTGAGCCGCGCTAAGGGTTTCCGTATGCCGAGACGGAGCTAAAGCCTGGGGAAAAGACAGCCAACTCAGTTATTTCTGTACACACAGAACATGGTAACTATTTCATTGGCAGGTTCAAGTGATGTGGAAACCACCGGAACGGGTTCTTAAGTCCTGCCATTACTTTCATGTCGTTGCCATTAATGCATATCTATTGGTCTAACTCTAGCTCGAGCTCACACGCTTCAAAACGCCCTTCGCTATGTAAGACACTTTTTGGTGCATAAATCGTTAATCGCTCGCGCATTTCATGGCTTTTATTAATCTCGAACCATAGAATCGTCAAGCCATCAAACCATCGTACCACCGAATCATCGTCTTCTTGTCCAGCATTTCCGTAAAATGGGGGATCCTCCAGCCTCTCTGCTACACTCACTGCCAAGAGGCATCGAAAGCTTCTCGTAGAAGTCACTCCATGCAGATCAACTTTGGCCTCGCACAGTCGTGGGGCCCCCGCATGGGTTGCGGCTGTTAATGACTTTCGGGAAGCTACTCGGAGCGGACGGGTAACAGACAATTTGTGTGTTCGCAGTCTTACGTCTGAAAGGTGCCGTGTGACATGGTTTCAGCCTTTTTTCCAGAGGTTCCGTGCTCTGCCCGTACCGACTGCCGTTGCTGACGCACCCGAGAGCAATGTTGAGGTCGCATTCCACACCGGATAAGAAGTATGCCACATCCCATCATCGTATGTCTTCGTTGAAGCCGTCGGTAGAGTGCTAGAACTTATGACAGCAGGAGGTGGAGGTTGAAGGGGAGACGGAATGCTCGCAGCGGCTTCTGGGCCTTTTGCTTCCGGATTTTTTGCTTCTGCCGGCTGCGCAGCCTCCGAAGCCCGATTTAAGCTTGCCAAGGACATAGAAACAGCCGGAATGGAGGTCCAGGTGGAGGCTGAGGATAGCGTCGAGGTGGAGAACGAAATTACGCATTTCACACTTGAAACACTGGTAAAGGTTTGGCTTGGGGGAGGCACTGTTGACGATGATATTGGTGTTTCTGCAGGATTGACGAGGGTATAGGACGGAGATGTTGTCGGAGCAGGGTTTTCCGTGATATCTTGAATAAAAATAATATCCACGGTCTTTGCGGGCTCCATTTCGCTGACAGTCTTCGTCGTTATAATCGTTTCGATCGACGGTGACGTGCTGCTTGCGGAGGCGGTGACGGTCTTAACGCTGTCCGACGTCTGGATGAGAGTGAGGAGATCTGGTACCGAAGCAGATGAAGGTGTGGGAACTGAGCCTCCATCAACGGCCACAACAGAATATGCGACGCGCCTTCGGACTGCAGGCTGTTTGGGAGGTGCCTGGGGTTTCAGTGGAAACGCATGGGAGATGTGAGTTAGAGAGGAGAGCGCTGATATGACTAGAAGAGACGTGAGACGCATGATTGAGGTGATCAGAGCAAGAGAGTATGAACTGGGAATTGTCGAAGGGAGCACAGAGTAGAAGCACTCGAGAATCAAGATACTTTCGCAACAGGTGGGAATTACGCAGTATGCAGATGCAAATGCAGCGTGGGGGAGAACGAGAGACAGAGAACTTAAGAAAAACATTTTTCTACCAATTGATAGAAATTGAAGATGGCTGGTGAACATGGTATGTATTTTTGGAATTGAGGTTCGCGAAGGAGGAAAGAGGTTGGGGCAACCTGAACGATCGCCGGAATTCACGTGGCTGGAGCCCGGACGCGCTAGTTATGTGTAGGACCTCCGATTAGCGCATTCTACTATCAGATCCGATAAGGAGTTCGTGAAAATAAGTTGCGTCTGATGCATATCGCAGTGGAAGTTTTGTATCGGTTGGTGCGCCGGCCCATGGAAAAAGCCAAAACCTTTCAAGACATCTCTAATTCAGTGCACACAGGCAGAGTTGCAAATAAATAGTGAAAACCAGAAGCCCAAAACAGACCATAAAGCATTAAGACAACCTCATCAAGACCGCGCAACCATCAGCGACCTCAGATACTCGGCAAAACCTTTCTCAATGCTCGCAGAGAAGTTTACAAAGAATGCCATCGCTTTCGAGCCGGGAATCGGGCAATGCTGCAACAAAGCTTTTACATTCAGGACCTGTAAATCCCTGATCGCGACGACGTGCTTCATCCATTCCATGTCATCGTCCATTTCGTCCAGTCTTGCTATCAAGGCAAAATCCGCCTTGCTGTAGGTATTTTTTTGTTTCCAGTATAAGGCGGGCTTGTTTGCAAGCGACGGTGTCCCTCCTTCGACATAGAGGTCAAGTTGTACCAAGCGCAAGTTCTGCGAGATGAACGCGCAGGCATTGCGCCATTCGCAGCGATCAAAGTCTTTGGTGTATGGTAGAGAGCGTTTGACAATATTCATTCGCTTGATGGCGGAGAGAGCGGCAGGCGTCAGGTCTTGTAGGAAGGGGAGGATGCTTTCGATATCCGTGCCAAAATCGAAAGTATGCTCCGAGTACAAGACGTGGGAGGCCTCGGCGTGGATCTGTTGGTTCACACCTAGGATCGAGGAACGTATGTCTCCGGGGCCTCTGTAAAGGCAGTATGTCGATTCGGCACTGCGAGAGCGCATTCGATCGGCTATGTACCTGAACTTGCTTCGTCGTCGCATTTCTCGCTTGCGTCGCCCGTATATGAATTGCTCCTCCGTACGTATGCGTAGAGTCATATCCTTGTGATGCGAAAGCAAGAGCTTGTATATAATGAGACGGATCTCTGCTGGCACCTTCAGGAAGGGCGCCGTGGCCATTGTGGACTCCGACATGCGGGCAACGTCTGCGTGCACAAAGGATCCGAGACTGATTCCCTACTCTGCACCACTAGGTAAGATGAATGTGTGGATGGACCCAGCGAAAATTATGTGTGATGAAGATTAGGCCACGACGTGATAAGATGCGCGGTTATGAGCTCTTATGCATTTCTGCAAAGAACATCGAGAGAAGGGAAAATTGTTCCCATCTCGAGTCAGCTACTCGTATCATGTTAGGTACGTACGTTATCGTCAGATGCGTTTGAATGAATGGACTAGTCCTAGTGTGTCCTTGTGGAATCAGCGGTCAGTGTCTTAATACGACCAATCAGCGTACGATCGCATCCGTTCTTAACCTCCAGGGTGCTCCGTAGTCTAGTAGACTGGGGCCAGGTGGGAAATCCCGCGTACATCCTGCGCCTCAAGGAAACGATATCTGACTGCATCTGAAGATTGTTGATTATCTGGCCTCTCGGACCGAGGGAGCGATGATTGACTGTCAAATGTTTGCGGCCTCGGTGGAATTTTCCTCTTGGCGAAAGCTAAACAGAGTAAATTTTGGCCCGTACCATAAGCTCAGCATCGTTGCCAATACACGGTAACATGAATGAATATGGTCACGGATGAAAGATGGTGATCTGACTTGGTTCCTAGGACGAAGCCGAAAACAGTGGGATTGCAACAGTTGGGGTATCGTAAATTGAATCCAAGGCAAAGCTTCAAACTTCAAACTTCAAACTTCCACAAAGCGCCTCTCACGATGGGCCCCTTGCTCTTCCTCTTCCACTGCCTATGCCTCTTCCAATACCGCTCCCGGCCCCTCCAGGCGTTGTGCCACCTGCTCTGGCCGTTCCTCTTACTCCTCCTTGACCGCCCACCCCAACATATCCATTGCCCCCTGCTCTGCCGACCCCTCGGCCTACACCTCTACCTCTTCCTCGTGGGCCCTTGGTAGTCAACCCTTCTGTCATCCTCCGTCTTTCCTCTTCCTCCTTTTCCCTCCCTCTCGCTTCCTCCCTCCTTGCCTCTTCTACTTCTCTCCTTTCCTTCTCCTGCCGCCTCAGCACCACCTCGTTCTCCCCATCCGCGATATCCTGACTTGCCCCCTGCCATCGCGGATTCAAGATTAGCCGTTGATTGTGTTCGGTCTGGCTGAGTATGCGCGTCCACGTTGTGAGGAGAGTAGATGCATTTGAGACTGTAGCAGAAACTGTTTCCATGTTACTCTTGGCTTTCTCCAAAGAGTCGACGACCCCTGAGATGACCTGGTTCATGGTGCGGACGGAGGACAGTTCGCGGCGAAGAGATGCTTCGTGGGCGGCAAGGTGGTCTTCTTCAGTATCTGGTGGTTGGGCAGGAGGTTGGGACTTCGAAGTCTCAGGTTCAGGTCTCCGTTTTTTGGTGGGCACGGAGGGTGAGGCGAAGAGGTCTTCTGTGTCGTCGGCGTCGCTGTCCGAGAGGGATAGGGAGTTAAGGTCTGGGGGAGTGACACCATTTCGAGCCATTATTTTGTAACAACAGGAAACACAATGTTTACACGGCCGAATCGGAGACCTCTTGCGCCGACTGGTTCAGTTGTCAAGGTTGGAAGACGTGTTGTTGATATTGGAGGGTACTCTACGCGCTTGGGCTTTTCAGCCATTCCCCACTAAATTCCCGCCCTGCCACAGCATTTTGACGACATTCCATCCTCAACATGACTACAACTTCCTTACCCTCTGCTTCCAATCCCTTCTACTCCAGATATTGTAGCATCATGCATTTGCAGCACATTATTTATTACTGCATTGAATAGCTAGCTCCGCCGAATCCTGTGCTCCAACGGCTTCAATTCGCCCGACGATCAACCATCGTTCCAGCACCCCCTAGCTAATATTCACTTGCTGCGCTCTGAGGTCGACAAAAAGCTAAGCAGTTAGCACCACTAAGCGACCGTGTTGAACGCCTCGGGTTGTACTTGGATATTGCAGTATGGCAACAACGCCTCCGTCAACATTAGCTGTATATACACCACCGACGCCGCTTCACGGTGCAAAGTACGACGAGCATTGCCCGAAACCCACTCGCAAAGCCACGCGCAACTCTTCATCACGCACCCAACGCGCCATTGAGACCCCACCTCCAAACCCGGTTAATTCTCAACACATTTCAGCATCCCTAGATCCGAAGAAGCCGAATACGCTACGTCCTGCCCCTCACACCTATTCTCCTCCGTCTTCGACACATACGTCTCCTCGTAAGAAGTCTTTAAGAGGCCCATTTTCATACCACAACAAGGACGCTAGCGCCATGGATGGTGCCGGTCCATCTTCAGGAGCTCCATCGCTCGATCTGTTCCACAACCCTGACAAAAATCCCACCTTGCAACAACCGTCGTTACATCCTGCTGCAAATATGCTTCCCACACCGGCGAAGACACCACGGAAGAAGCCCGTGCAGCCAGCAGCCGTCCAAGCTGCAGCTAGAGTACTTTTTCCTTCTCGACCAGATACAGTGGAAGATGCAATGCCGAATCCACGCAAGAGAAGAAACAAGAGGCATGTCGGTTTCTCCCTTTATAGCTCCATGGAAGATGATGGCGACGCGGGCTCGGAAAACCAGATCGAAATCTATACGGACTCCAAAGACAAAGTTCCAGAGCTGGATCCGAGTGAGGACAATCCATTCTACGACCAACATGCTCGGACTGTCGCTTCTGTAGAGCCTCGCAAAACGAAAGCTAGCAAGAAGCGGAAAGCGGAGCACAGTATAGATACGAGTACAGAGATCGAGGAGGCTTTCAACCGCGAAGAAGGCATGGTCTACGTCTTGTAAGCACTTCCATCCCTTCATCTCACTGAAGGTGGCACTGATTCTTGTGTTCAGTCGCGGCAAGAAGATGTATCGAAAATTTCCCCATGATGGTCTAGAGTATAATGACACCAACAACCGTGGAGACAGTGAGCGCGAGTCCTCTACTATACGTCCATTGACTCGTTCCTCAATCAAACCGCGCCTCCTTTTCCCAACGACGCAACAAATCCACGAGCGTACCGTATCTACCATTGACGATGAAGAAGCTCCCACTGACATCGAAGATCCCCAAGACCATGAGCTGACCGACCCGGAGGACGAGAAACCGATTACCACTCCAATTAAGGCCTCAGTTTTCTCACCTGCAACTCCGCCGACCACTGGCCACGCAACTAGAGCAGTCACCAAGAAGGCAGCACTTGACTCGCCTTCAGGTCGACCGGAGCCGGTCCAAGCCGTTCCGTATGAGCGGCGTGGTAAGAAAGTCAGTCCGTTTGATGCATGGGCACGCACGAAGGCTGGCATGAGTGGGAGTGAAGGCAAAGGGAAGAAGAGGGAGGGAGAGGCTATGGAGAAGAATGAGGGAGTAGCAGGGAGCAAGAAAGTCAGGGGCAGTGGAGTGGTTTGAACGTATCTAATAGACATGCTACGGCATGTATCCCACTCAGAGCTTTCGAGCTCGCCAACAACGGACTTCGTCTCCAGCTGTGTTTGCAATTTGGGGTTTTATTCAGCGTTTGTCAACGACACTTGTGATAGCACAGCCGATCTGGCGAGCTATCGGGGGTGGAGTGGCAGAAGTGTCTTCATCCACGGTCATAGAGGCTGCATGAATGCAAAGACCGGGAATTTTTCCATGCTTGTAGCCTAGTCTGGCTAGATTGGCTCTCTGCTTTTGCTCCCAACATTGGGTATTCGATAAACATCTCAATATCATATGCAACACCTGATGCAACCCTCATAATTTGAAGTCAACCACACCCCTTTCCCCACCCCCTGTTTCCCCAATACGCTTGGAAACCCTTTCCACCAGCTCCTCTTTCTTTTGGCTGCCTTTTTCACTACAAAGCTCATACACCGTCGCTAGATTGAAAGTCAGCGCGTGGAAGCTCCTGCCCTTCTCAACTAATTGATCCAGCAGCTCCAAAGTCTTATCCACCTCGCCAGTGTAGAACAGACAAACGGCTAAATTCTGTGTAGCGAGATCGCTGCTTGGTAAAGCATTCCACTCCTCCACCGCATCTGCATAGCGGCCATCTGCCATGCTGAGCAACGGTCTCAAGTCTGAGGCGCTGGTATCGGAAAGACACTGCCGTGCTGCATCCACATTTCCAACGTGGATGTAGAGAAGAGCCAGGCGCCCTTCTAGGACTTCATCCTTTCCGGTTTTAGGTCGTAAGCTCTCCAAATGTCTTACGGCAGCTGCAGCATCACCCATCTCAGTCAATGCGTTGGCCACGCACAGTCCCAGTTCCTTCAATCTCTCCTGCCATTTTCGGGTTTCTTCCGGGTCCACAGCTTTCTTCACCTCTGCCCTTGCCTCCCTTGCTAGATCGTAATAACCTCCGACACCTCTCCTACCATCTCCGTATCCCACTCCTTGTAACCGCACGGCGAGAACCCTCAACTCCCATGGTAAGATGTTCTTTCCAGTAACTTCGTCGCGGTAGAATGGGCTGTTGATGTCTTGCAGCGCTTTTGATTCTTCGGCAGCGAAAGGGAGGTGACTTATGAGAGTCAAACAGGCGAGACGGGTGTAGAGAAGCGGGAAAAGCTCGTTGGGAGGGGGCGCAGGTGGCGTGCAGAGCCGTAAAGCTGCAGCTGTGGCGGCAGAACGAAAATTGTGATTCGCGAGAAGGGTCGGTGTTGGGGTGGAGGGAGGTGGCTGGCGTTTGGGCGTGCGGAATTGAGAGGGTAGATCCTAATGGATGTCGTGAGCTCTGCAGGTTGTATAGAATCCGGGGAGATTGCGTACTAGCTGAGATAAGGGGTGGTAGATGTCTGGCCGGAGCAGGTAAGTGAAATCCTTGCTAGGCGGGGGTGGAGGGGCCGTGACGGCGGGTTGAGCGAATGGGCGCTCTGGACTGAAAGATGTGGTAGGTATAGGGATATTCGCGGCTTCAATGGTGACATGGCTGGGTGTTTGAGGAGATTGGACAGCTAAAGGACTGAGATGTCAATGTCATGCTTCAAGGAGGGACAGGGCAAGCATACTCGTCCGAATCGAGGGGCCCCTTGGTCATACGTCTTGCGAGGGGAGCTGCAGGATTGTTAGTAAGATAAGCTTGAAGACCGACTGGCACAGGTGTGGAAAGTTGTTGTCATGTCGAATTACCTCGATTGTAGGAGGCATTTCTTGAATGCCTTTTGGAGGTCGAGCTACCTTCTAGACGCTGCGGACTTGTCATGTTATAATATTGCCAATTTAATCAGAGGCTGGGTTGAAGTGGAGATGATGTAAAGAATTCGGGTGTACTCTAGGGCCAAGTTCCAAGGGCATCTACCCTAAAGTACAGGTACTTAACCCCTGGAATCAGTCGGTTCCTACGCCCCACCATCTCCCCCTACTCCACTCCCTCAAACATGAGCTCCACTGACACTTATCCTGGACTTTTGCACCCAATCTCCCCACCTCTTGTCGCCTTTGAACATCGCCACAATCCTCAATCTCAGGCCTCGCCGATGGACTCCTCACAGTTCCATACGTTCCCCACATTCAATTCGCCCCCCCTTCCTCGTGGGCTCTTGTTGAAACCACTCTTTCCTCTTCCTATAGACAATTTGGAATTGCGTCACTGGGTGAAGATGTAGCCGAAATAGCGCGGCTTGTTGAATACTTTCACACATTGCATCCAAAACGTAAAATTGTTCTGCTTGGTCACTCCACAGGAAGCCAGCAAATTATGCACTACTCCATTGCCCCTGGTTCTCGTCCAACGATCGATGGTGCCCTCTTTCAAGCCAGTGCCAGTGACCGCGAGGCGTTGGCGTGTTGGCTCTCGGCAGATGAATACCAGTCTGCTTGCGCAGTCGCCCAATCTTATATTTCCGAAGGCAGAGGAGAAGATGTCTTGCCCTTCGAGGTGACCGCGTCCTGCTTTCAGACCGCACCCTTGTCGGCAAGTAGATGGATCAGTCTTGCAAGTCCAGGAGACCATGAGGGAGAAGATGATTATTTCAGCAGCGATTTTGACGACGAGAGATTAAGTAAAATATTCGGAGAATTAGGAAAGACGGGCAAAAGAATTGGTTTTTTGTACAGCGGAAGTAATCAGTATGTGCCTAGTACAGTCGACAAGTCGAAGCTCGTGGAGAATTGGCACGAGCACGTTAGGCGTGGAGGAGGTATCATCGACGAAGGAAGTGGAATCGTGCGAGGCGCAAGCCATACGCTTAAAGAAGGTGGAGAGCCGCTTGAAAATCTAGTCGGAAGGGTTATTGGTTTTCTAGAGAGGCTGGAAAAAGAGGACAAGTCGTAGAGTAAGGTGCATGCTAAAAGAGTATACAAAATGCTAGATTCTTATGGAGATATTTTCTCTTCGACTCGATGGATAAGGGGTGAACCTATGCAGGGGAGCATTGATGTAGGCAAATGATGGTCCGAAAACACGCAGCTTATAGGCAAGTAGGATACGGATACCTTAGAGGTAGCAATTCAAGGCTAATGTTACATCGACGAGCCACAATGTATCTCTAGTATGCAATAGTGATG